AGAGAGCCCTGCCATGTGTCCCCGGACACAGCACCGGAGCTGCCTCCATCCCTGCTCCCTTGTGTGCCTCAGTTTCCCTGCCAGAGCCTGTGGGGTGCCCCGCTGGGTGCTGTAACGCTGGAATGGTCCCTGGGGTCCCTCTCAGCCTCCCCTATCTGCCCTGCACCCACCCCGTCCCCGGCTCCCAGCAGCACCCGGAGGGGCAAAGCCTGCCCCACGGGCAAGCCCGGGCGCTGGGCTGCCCCACACACCTCTGTGCTGTGCCAGGGTGGGACCCCAACCCCTCCTTGGGGGGGTCCCCCCACCTCAGGCCCCCCCCGGTCGCCCACCTCCCCTGCTCCTCACCGGCACTTGGAGCCGGCAGCCAGGAGGACGTTGTTGGGGTGCCAGTCGAGGCTGAGCACCGTCGAGCGGATGGGCTTCTTGATGTGCTTGCAAACCCACCTGTGGGGAGAGGGGCTGGTGTCAGTGGGGGAGCATCACCACCCCTGGGAACTCCCCCCCGGGCTTTTGGAGGGCTGGCTGAGGGTGGTCGGGGTTACAAGCACCCCAGGAGCTGCACTGGGGGACCAGCCAGGGCATGGGGACAGCATGTCCCGTCCCCAGCAGCAGGGTTTTGGAGCACCTCCCTTCACCTCCCCAGCTGTCTCCTCTTCCACCGCCTCCTCTGGCTCCTCTCTGTCTCCCCTGTCTCCTCCTGTCTCACCTCCAACTCCTCCAGTCTCCTATCTCCCAGTCCATGTCCCTTCCACCTCCCCTCCATCCATCTCTCAGCCATCCATCCATCCATCCATCCACCCATCCATCTCCCCATTCATCCATCCATCCATCTCCCCATCCATCCATCTCTCCGTCTCTCCTCCATCCATCTCCCCATCCATCCATCCACCCATCCATCCATGAATCCATCCACCCATCCATCCATCTCCCCATCCACCTATCCATGTCTCCATCCATCTCTCCATCCATCCATCTCCCCCAGGACAGGCCCAGTGAGGCCGTGGCTGAGCCTCACCAGTCATTCTCCTGCTCAAAGTAGCAGATGGAGATGAGCCGGGAGCCGCTGCCCACAGCAAACTTGTTCTCCTTGGGGGACCACTTGACGCAGCGGGCGGCCCGGTTGATCCGCAGGATGACCAGGGTGGGTTTCCAGACATTGCCCTTCAGGGTCCAGACGTAGGCATTGCGGTCGGTCCCGCATGTCACCAGCCGGTTGCTCTCAGGGGCCCAGTCGATGCCTGGAAGGCAGAGGGGGTGATGGTGGCCCAGGGAGCCATGGGGATGGGGATGGGTCACTCAGGGCTGGAGGCTATTTGAAGGCAGAGCTGTTTTGGGTGGTCTTGCTCCAGAATCCCTCTTTTCCCTACTCCCACATCCATCCCAAATCATCCCACCCCACCCAGCCCCATTC